CTGCGCCCTCTACAGCTAAGATGGTGAACAACAGCTTGACCTGGAGCTGGGCAGCTGTGAGTCGCCAGTGACAGTGTAGGCTGCAGTGGGCGGCCATGAGCTACTGTGAGTGGCTGGCAGCAGGCATGAACTTTCGTGAGCTGCTGTGAGCAGCAGTCCAATGGCTGGTGAGCAACTGCCTCACCCAGGAAGAGCTCAATGATCACAATACCAACATGGGCCAGTGAAAAGACATCCTCCACAACTAGACTGGAGAACCAAAGAACAGCAACTTGTCTGTTCCCATTCCCTGATTCCCCAACACTGTTCCCCTCCCCCAATTCCCCAATGATATTTTTAAATAATAAAAATTTTAAAATTAAAATAACTCAATTAAAATATGGAGAAATATGTTAATAGACTTTTCTCCAAAGAATATACATAAATGGCCAATAAGCACATGAAAAGACATTTAACATTAGTAATTAGGGGTACGCAAATCAAAACCACAATGAAATACCATTCACACACTTAGGATGGCAAAAACCAAAAGGAGAGTAAACAAATGCTGACAGGGATGTGGAGACACTTGAGCCCTCAAGTGATGCTTATAGGATCATATAATGGTGCAGCCAGCCCCTTTGGAAAACAGTTTGGCAGCTTCTTAGTCAAATGTAAAATTGCCCTAGGACCCAGTAATTCCATTCCGAGGCTTATATATCCAAGAGAAATTAAAGTATATGTCCAGAAAAACACTATGTTCATAGTAACATTATTAATAATAGCCAAGCGGAAACGAGCTAAATGTCTATTGACTGATGAATAAATGGTTGGTATGTTCATATAATGTTCATATTCAGCAATGAAAAGGAAAAAACTGTTGATATACCCAACAATGGATGAATCTCAACTGAACTATGCTGAGTGAAAAAAGCTAATTCCAAAAGCATATATACTGTGTATTTCATTCATATAACATTCATGCAATAACAGAGAGGATGACGAAAATATTATAAAATTCGATTGTGGCAATGGCTCTGAAACTAACTTTTTAACTGTACATTTACCAAAAATCAGTGAATTACATACTTAAAGCTGGTGAATTTTATGGCATGTCAATTATACCTCAATAAAGCTTCTAAAAAATTAACCTTTTCATCATGGTGTGAACAAAACGAAGGTTATTTAACAGAAAACAAAGTATGTTTGCGTGTGTATATATTACTGTTCTTTCATCCTTACATTGGTTAAGAGGTTGTCAATGGTAATGGTTACTTATTTTCAAAAGTCTCAAACCTGGCTCCAAGGGTACCAGTCTTCTAAATGGAATGGCTCGACTTCCAAAAGAAAGTCCTGTTGAAATCCTCCTCATTCTTCAAAAGGGCCCATCTTAATGCCCTCTTCCTTATGACAGCCTTCCTGGGCAATAAAGAATCCTTCCTCCACTGAACTTCCAAAGTACTTTCTCTAACCATTCCTGCAGTGTGCACTTTATGGTCTTGCTATGGTGACTTTATGGACTTTTTATCTCTTCCATTAGACCACCAGCACCTAAAAGCTTTAATGCTTATACACAGATGTGTAGCCCCTCCCAACCGATCTTGGGACCAATAATTCCAGGCCTATTCAATGGACATTAGGTAAATTAACTCACACTCATAATTCTGGGAAATGAGAGCAGATCCAGTATATGACATTACATACTGCAAACATAAAACCTTGAATACATCATAAAGCAAGCAGCAAAGCTAAAAACAAAAAATAAGTCTACTTTTTCAGCTCAATGACTTTTCATTGGTTTATGTAAACATCACAATACTCCACTCCAAAGCGTCTGACATCATATTCCCAAAGAAAGTAAAAAAGAAATGATTAAATTGTACTAAATTTGGCAAAAAGGTTTAGGAACCCATCCAGCTATCATGTAAGCAAAGCAATCACTTACCTAGGTGCTTCTTTGGCTCTAGGAAAGGTCTGCATTAAAACAAAACAAAAAAGCTATACATGAATACACAAAACAAAATTACTGTAAAGCATAAATTTAAGTGACTTATACAGTAACCATATATTTTTAAAATAAGCTGAATATTCAACTTTATATGAATAAACTATTGATGGGCAAGGGAGAGTACTTCACCTCTTAATGACGAATGAAATCCCTGCTTTGTTCTCCAAAATCCACTTCAAAGTTGCAAGATCATAGTTCTCGGGGTGTTTAAAGGCAACTCCTTCTGGAAGGCCCTGCACTACCACAGCCGACTGGTCTCGCAGAATCTTCTCATATGGAACAGGCACCACTGTTGATTTGCCTAAAGCTTTCCCTAGGGGTAAGGGACAGGGGTGAGGTGGAAAGAAGATAAACATCAATAAATGATAAGGTTAAAAACCTAAACCATCATCAGTTTATCATGGCTCAATGAATGGCATTCATGCTTTCCTATAATATCTGATTTCAAAACTACTCTGAAATACTATAGGTCCCTTCTCCCAGGTTAGCAAGAGTTCTAAACCTGAAATGGATCTAAAGGACCAAAATGAAAAGTATATAAATATTTATATAAAACAAAACCTACACAAAGGAAAGGAACAATGGCTGATTTCCTGCACTATCCTCTTTCTTCACAATGGTCCCAGCCCAGTATAACACGATCTTTTCATATACTACTCAGCCTCAGAACATGGAAGCCTGACAACGTTCTGGCAATTTCTGGTTAATACTCTCACTGAAAACTTATTAAATAAACAAAAAATTTTAAAAAATGTAAAATCTACATTCATAAATGACTGTACTGTGTCAGGCTGTCGGTGTGTACCACGCAGTGAGACCGCAGATGCTACAAACCTCATTCCTCAGAGCTGAATTTTATCTACAACCTCAGTGTGACCAGTATCCTCCCCCTTTATTCACCACATAATTGGGTTAACAAAAGGTAGTTTTCCGGGGAAACGGCACACATGTCAAAAGTAAACACCTCTTTTTGGGTGATTATGATATGCTGATGCAGGTTCTGTGGTGGGGGATACTGACAGTTGAAGGGCTATGCATGTGGGAAGGTAAGTGTCATATAAGAAATCTCAGTACCTTCCTCTTAAATTTGTTGTGAATCTAAAACTGCTTAAAACAAACAAACAAACAAAACAAAAACAACGGGCAACCGGGTGGCTCAGTTGGTTAGAGCGTGAGCTCTGAATAACAGGGTTGCCGGTTTGATTCCCACATGGGCCAGTGAGATGCACCCAAGCTGAGCTGCCACTGAGCTGCCAACGGGCGACAGGATGGCTCAGCTGGGGAGAGAATGGGCTCTTAACAAGGTTGCCAGTTTGACTCCCGCATGGGATGGTGGGCTGCGCCACCTGCAACTAAACTGAAAATAGCGACTAGACTTGGAGCTGAGCTGCGACCTCCACAACTAAGATTGAAGGACAACAACTTGACTTGGAGCTGATGGGTTCTGGAAAAACACCAATAAAGTTAAAAAAAAATAAAAATAGGGCCGGCCGAGTGGCGCGATGGTTAAGAACTCGCTTGGGACGCCAGAGGGCCCCGGTTCAGATCCCACATATGAGGGCCAGTGACACTGCCCTCTACAGCTAAGATGCTGAACAACAGCTCAACCTGGAGCTGGCCTGCCATGAGTCGCCGGCGACGGCGTGGGCTGCAGTCCCTGTGGCAGTGGATTGCCATGGGCTACCGTGTGTAGCCAGCAGCCAGCATGAGCGGCCGTCCAGAAGCCGGTGACTGATCTGCCTTGCCAGAGAAGAGCGCAATGATGGTGCCAACTTGGGCCAGTGAAGCAACATCCTCCACAACTAGATTGAAGAACAAAAAATGACAGCAACTTGTCTGTTCCCCTTCCCCCAATTCCCCAGCACTGTTCCCATCCCCCCAATTCCCCAATAAAAATCTTAAAAAATAAATAAATAAATAAATAAATAAATAAAAACAGCTCTAATAGCTATATTTATTTCTGGGCTCCTTCAAACTGGAAATAGAAAGTAAAATTTTTCCTAATGTTAACCCAATATTTGGAAATTAGTGCATTCAATTTGTGAGACTGTGTTGTATGATATTAAATCTACCCTTTAGAAAACTCAATTTTATGTTTTTTAGAAAATTCATTGGAGGGGGTGGGGATGAAGGAGAAGGGGAAGGGATGAGACAATACAAATTGGTAACTACAATATGGCCTCAGGGATAGAAAAGACAGACTGGGGAATACAATCAATAATGTTGTATAATATTTTTTAGGGGGCCAGATGGACTCACGTCTTGTTAGGGAGACCACTTCATAGTCGGTGTAGAGGCCTGACCACCACACTGTATTTCTGAACTGATATTGAATAATATTGTATGCCAAATATAATTATATACAAATGTAGTCACGGGATGTGGAGTAGAGTGTGGGAATGGAGTCAATGGAATTGTAATAGATAAGCATGATATGGGAGGGGGGCAATAGATGGGGAAGAGGGGTTGTTTCTGTGTGAAGAGTGAAAAGGATAACTATTGCATTGTTCTGTACACCTGAAACGAACAACAACAACAACAACAAAAATTCAAGTGTATAACCTACCATAGCAAAAGCAGAAATAGTCCTCAACTGTTTTTCTGAGTGTTTCAATCTCTACAGCATCTACACTCATCCGATTCGCCTGAGTTGTAGATTTCATTTTATGCATCTCTGCAGCCTTTTCTTCTTCTTCAACACCTATAAAATAATTAATGATATAAAAGGTCTGTACCCATTATCTTACTATCTGGCTTTTAGTAAGAATATTTTTCCCGGGTTATCACTTTGTGAGGGGTGAAATGTGTAACTATTACATTGTTTTCTACACCTGAAACTAATAATTAATTAAAAAAGAGAAAAGAATATTTTCCCCTATATTCTAACATTTATGATGTATTATATGAAAATAGAAAGGAAAGGAAAGAGGGGACATTTTAAATATAAAAACCTAAAAGATATAAATGACTTGAATGAAAATAACAAGAATGGATGATCATCTCTGAAATAAGTATAACTATAACTGAAAATCCTACAAATTAGCTACGAGTAGTTTTAAGACGAAAAGTTCCCTTAAGAGTAATTTATCAGCTACAAACTTAAATACCGGAAGATTATCACCACAAAAAATATTCTTAGGCTTGCAAAGTCCAACACAATAGCCAATAGACACCTATGGCTACTGAGCACTTAAAATGTGACAGTCCAAATTACAATGTGTTGTAAGTTTGTAATATGCACTGGGTTTTAAATACTACCAAAAAAATATGCAAAATACTCCATTAATAATTTTTTACAGTGAGTACTTGTTGAATGATATTTTAGATGTATCAGGTTAAAATACAAGCACTAAAATGAATTTCACTTCATTCTACTTACTTTTTATCAATGTCATAACTAGAAAATTTTAAATGACATGAGTGATTCACATTATTTCTATTGGATAGTGCTTTTCTAAACCCTGGAAAAAGCTTAGAATTCTCCCCCAAAATTTCAAAAACTGACTTACAAACCTATTGATTAAGCTTCAGATCCCTATCTGCAAAATAATTTATAGAAATATTAGGTACTTAAGAATTCTATTGTATCTAAGCAACCAACACAGCCAGCTTTACTTAAAAAAAAAAAGAATCGGGGCCTGCCGAGTGGCGCATTGGTTAAGAATTGGCTTGGGATGCCAGCTCTGAGCAGCAGGGCCCCGGTTCGGATCCCACATGAGGGTCAGTGATGCTGCGCCCTCTAAGCTAAGATGGTGAACGACAGCTCGACCTGGAGCTGGGCTGCCGTGAGTCTCCAGCGGTGGCGTAGGCTGTGGTGGAGCTGCGGTGGGCTCCCGTAAGCTACCGTGAGTGGCCAGCAGCCGGCGTGAGCGGCCATCCAATGGCCCACAAGCAACTGCCTCACCCGGGAAGTGCACAATGATAATACCAACATGGGCCAGTGAAGCGACATCCTCCACAACTAGACTGAAGAACAAAAGGACAGCAACTTGGCTGTTCCTCTTTCCCGATTTTCCGGCACTGTTCCCCTCCCCCAATCCCAAATAAATCTTTTAAAAAATAAATAATTTAAAAAAAGATTTCTATCCAAAGATTCTTCTCCATGAAATCAAATTATTGGTAATAAAAAGCGCGTTTTCTAATAGGCAGGGGCTACAATTTGCAACTTAGGACAACAATCCCCTACTGCTTAGTTCTAACCGCTGGAGAACCACATAAGCAAGGCAGTATAGGGAACAGGAATATAAACACAGGTGCCAGTGGGAGGTTATAGTATTCGTAGGACAGACAGATGGCAGCTCATAAAAACATAAAGCAACATAATTAGCCACTTAAATACAAACATATCCAAAGCCTTAAAAATTCTCAAAATAGTAAGAAATGGTGAAAACAATTTAATAGACAGGCATACAATGGAGAAGAGAAGATAAGTTTTTTAAAAAGGACTAAAAATTTAATTGGGGGGGAGTGAGGCGGCAGATTGGGGGAGAGCGGTTGTCACTTTGAGGGGTAAAAAGTGTAACTATTGCACTGTGTTGTATAGCTGAAACTAATTTTTAAAAATGTTTATTTCACAAAAAATAAAATAAATAGCAGAGTTCAGAAAAGTAGAAAAAAAAATTTGATCAACCTTATTAAAAGAAAGACCAAATTGTCCTTCCTTGTCTCTACAGAAAATGACATTCATTCATCATGTGAAGAGATGATCAGAATATGCTGCCAAAAATGTAGGGAAGTATATTAGGAGTATGTCAAGCAGTTAATTACTTTTTAAAAAGTGCTAGGTGTTTGTGATACTTATTAGTTTGTGGTACTTTTATCAGCATTAAAAATTTTTGTATTTTGTTGCAATTTCTTTTGTCATTATAAATATGTTCCTATGTAAAAAAAAAATACAATTGAGAATTGAAATTAATGAATTAAGAAATCTATTTTTATTTACCCATGATCTGCTCTATTTATTATGAATTAGACCCAATTTGATAATGGAAATGAAAGCTTAAATCTTAAAGATATATATATATGCCTATCACTATCCCTTTTGTTCTCTTTCCAAGTTTAAGAATACACTGTATCACCGAGTTACTATAAAACCTACTGACAGTGTCAAGTTAAACACAGATACAAAACTGTCATACTGTGAAACGCCATAGTATTAACACCCTACAGTAGACTGGAGGATCACAAAACTCACCGAGGACTCTGACAAGTTGACTCCACTGGGGGAGTCGGGAAGATCTGGTTAATTTCGTGTCAAGCTTACAAAAATGAAATACACACAGAATGACTTGTTTTCAATACACCTAACATCTATCAAGAAAAAAACTGCTTATCTGAATAAGAACTTTTAATCAGCTCAAAATTTCTCTACCTTCTCTACTGTTTCACCAATCCAGAGTAATGCCAAGCAAGGAGCAGAGTACAATAAACATTTACCATTTTCTTAAATTCTTCAATATTTACTCCTACATATTACCACGTCAGTGATTTCTTTGAGCATTTTGAAATGTCTCCATGAACATATGAGAAAGTATTTTTTAGGGCTGGCCGAGTGGCACGATGGTTAAGAACTGGCCTGGGACGCCAGAGGACCCCGGTTTGGATCCCACATATGAGGGCCAGTGACACTGCCCTCTATAGCTAAGATGCTGAACAACAGCTCAACCTGGAGCTGGGCTGCGACGGCGTAGGCTGCATGCAGCCCCTGTGGCAGTGGGTTGCCATGGGCTACCGTATGTAGCCAGCAGCCAGTGTGAGGCCAGCAGCCGCAGTGAGCAGCCGTCCAGAAGCCGGCGACTGATCTGCCTCACCTGGGAAGAGCGCAATGATGGTGCCAACTTGGGCCAGTGAAGCAACGTCCTCCACAACTAGACTGAAGAACAAAAGGACAGCAACTTGTCTGTTCCCCTTCCCCCATTCCCCAGCACTGTTCCCATGCCCCCAATTCCCCAATAAAAATCTTTAAAAAAAAAAAAGTATTTTTAAGTATAAATTCCATTCTGCTTTAGAATAAAATATGTTAAGCATAAATATTTAGATTTAATATTTATAAATACAAAAGATAAAAATACAGTACTTACAGTATTTCACAAAATCTTTCTGAAAATCCTTCCTGGTGTTAACAAAAGCACGTCCTCTCTCAGTTCCGACGACAAACACGTCTGTTTCATACACTGCGATGCAGGCCACTTCTGCCTTGGACTTGGCCAGTTCTTTACACTGAAATACAAACATCAAACCTTATGTGATATACAGATGCAATTTAAAAGCACCGTTTCTGCTTACTGGACGAATAAAGAAATCTTATCACTTAAACTTTCTTAATACATAACCTGAAAACGGATAAAGTTCCTAGTCTCTGGACTTAAGATGTCACGCTTAAAAAGCTCCCCCCCACTTTTTAAGGTACCTCTTTCTAAATAGTTTTTAACCTGACTTTAAACAGAAAAAATAGAATTTATAAGAAAAAAAGGCAGAGATCCTTTGTAATCTGTTATAGGTCAAATTCCCAAGGAACAGACTCAAATTTGCACATGGGCTTACTGGAGAGTACAGGCGAGTACTCGCAGTAATAACCACTGTGGGGTGTGAGGGGAGTGGGATTCCACTGAGAGAGCTCCGGAGAGTTGAAAGCTGATGCACCTGCATAAGGAGAGCTCTGAGCTGGAGCTCTGCAAGGAAGGGAGGACCCTGGGCAAGGGTGCCTATGACACATACAGCAACTGGGGCGATCAGCGCCATCAATCCTAAAGAGGGGTCTGGAAGCCACAGCACAATATCCATTACATAACCCCACCTCCAGCAATATCTCCGCGCGCATACACAACAGGAATCACATTTAGGTGAGTAGACTTTTACTCACCTAAAATATGATTTTCAGTAAGTATATTCCTATGAGATTAAGTATTCATTAAAATCTAAGAGTATAGGGCCGGGCAAATGGCACGTTGGTTAGGAGTTGGCTTGGGACACCAGCTCTGAGCAGCAGGGACCCCGGTTCGGATCTCACATGAAGGCCAGTGACGCTGCACCCTCTACAGCTAAGATGGTGAACAACAGCTCCACCTGGAGCTGGGCTGCCAGTGAGTCGCTGGCAATGCCATAGGCTGCAGTGGGGCTGCAGTGGGCTGTCATACGCTGCCGTGAGTGGCTGGCAGCCAGCATGAGCGGCCAGCGGTGTGAGCTGCCGTGAGCAGCCGTGAGCGGCTGTCTGATGGCCGGTGACCAATCTGCCTCAGGTGGGAAGAGCACAATGATAATCCCAACATGGGCCAGTGAAGCGACGTCCGCCACAACTAGACTGAAGAACCAAAGGACAGCAACTTGTCTGTTCCATTCCCTGATTCCCCAATGCTGTTCTCTCCCCCAATTCCCCAATAAAATCTTTTAAAAAGTAATAATAATCCACTGATCGGTATTAAAATGAGAGTATCGTACCTTAGATATTTTTCTGTAAATCAGCATATCCTTTGCTTATTTTTCTACTATGTTTAGTAACGTTTCCCCACTGATGCATAAAAACACCTCAATGATTTTAGGTATAGAAAAGCTACTTATGGAATTAAATTCACATTTACATATTTTTTCTGATTTTTGGATTTGTCTTAACTATTTTTTATTTTTACTCACCTAGAATTTAACTTGGTATATGATAAACACTTGAAATTTTCCTTTTTTGACCAAATAGCCTATTTTCTCACAGTATCATTTGTTGAAAATACAGGTTTCCTCCATTTGCTTTTGATTTGTACAGTAACTACCTTCTAATTTCTTAGATGCAAAATTACTTGCATAATACTGTTTTAAAATGTTATGTTGAATAAATAATGTTATACCTACTGCAATGATCAGAAATCTTTTAAGCCATAATAGAAAACTTCTACCTAAAGGTGAGCCATCACGTTGTAGTAGACTTTCGTTATGTTGCATTTATATGAGGTACAGTGGCTGCTCACTTGTAACATTATAATTACTAACCTTGTGATAAATGAGATTGCAATCTTGGTGCACTATCCACCCCCTTAGACAACCTGTCATCAAAACCAGTATTTATGAAACATCAAAGCAAGATTCAGGTACTGTCCAAGGATTAGATCAAAGAAATCTCTGGGCAAAGGAAGGATAAAGCGACCTACACACCTGTAATTACACTTTGTAACATACAACTTGGAACATGAGGAGAGCTACTCTTACTCCCGCTGGTGAGGAGCAAATAAAAGCTGAGAATAATAAAGTGACTGCCAAGGTGATAAACTACAAAGGCATTCTAAGGAGGAGAACAGGTCCTAAGTGACCCCATGTTATTTTATGTAGAGATCAGTAATAAAAATATATATAGATTTTAGTATCAACAGAGTAGGATTTAATGTCTAAATTATCATTTAAGGGCCGGCTAAGTGGCACGTTGGTTAAGAGCTGGCTTGGAACGCCAGAGGGCCCCAGTTCGCACCCCACATATGCGGGTCAGTGACACTGCCCTCTACAGCTAAGATGCTGAACAACAGCTCAACCTGGAGCTGGGCTGCTGTGAGTCACCAGTGACAGCACAGGCTGCAGTGAAGCTGCAGTGGGCTGCCATAAGCTACCGTGAGTGGCTAGTAGCTATCGTGAGTGTCCGGCAGTCAGCGTGAGCTGCCAAGAGCAGCCGTGAGCGGCTGTCCAGTGGCTGGCAACCGATCTGCCTCTCCTGGGAAGAGCGCAATGATAATGCCAACATGGGCCAGTAAAGCGACGTCCTCCACAACTAGACTGAAGAACAAAAGGACAGCAACATGTCTGTTCCCTTTCCCCGATTCCCCAACGCTGTTCCCCTCCCCCAGTTCCCCAATAAAAAAATCTTTAAAAAAAATTAAAAATAAAAATAAAAAAATAAAGAGCTAACACATTACCTATTTAGTAAAAGATGACAGAGTAGGGCAACTGTGAATGCACAGCACAATAAAATAAAGAATAGATATAAAATAGTGACTAGGCTCTTATGGCCCAAAATTCTGGTAATGTTCTTTGTACAGATACAAGAAAATACCAGCATAAAACTACAATATACCACCTCATTCTGAGAAAACTCAAATATTACACATAAATTCAAAGTTAATGCTTGCAAAACAAGAAACTGCCTAATAAACAGCGGTTCAAGTCTCGGCCCGAGCTGAGCAGCTGCTGAGCTGCCAACAGGTGGCAGGATGGCTCAGCTAAAATAATAATAATAATAATAAATAAAAAAAATAAAAAAAAGAAACTGTCTAATACTGGTAAGTAAAAAGTTGAAATTAAATGTTACATGTTAAATTAAATGACATTAAATGTTACAATATTAAACATTTAAATTAGTTAAGAATATTCTGAAATATGGTATTAAAATTTGATATTTTTGAAAGTCTAAAACCCATAACTATTATTCAAGCAAAAAATTATTCTTTTTTATTTATTTATTTTTTTTAAGATTTTATTGGGGAATTGGGGGGGAGAGGAACAGCACTGGTGAATCGGGGAAGGGGAACAGACAGGTAGACAAATTGCTGTTTTGTTCTTCAGTCTAGTTGTGGAGGACTTTGCTTCACTGGCCCATGTTGGTATTATCATTGTGCTCTTCCCGGATGAGGCAACTGGTCGCCGGTCATTGGTCGGCTGCTCACAGCGGCTGCTGGCTGCTCACGCTGCTTGCCAGCCACTCACGTAGCTCACGGCAGCCCACTGCAGCCACGCTGCAGCCTACGCCGTCGCCAGCGACTCACAGCAGCCCAGTTCCAGGTTGAGCTGTTGTTCAGCATCTTAGCTGTAGAGGGCGAGCATCACTGGCCCTCAATGTGGGATCCAAACCGCAGCCCTGCTGCTCAGAGCTGGCGCTCCCAAACGAGCTCTTAACCAGCTGAGCCACTCGGCTGGCCCTACAAAAAATTATTCTTATTAAAAGACAAAAAAAACGTGTTTTATAAAAAGGGTCCGGTCAAGTGACTCATTTGGTAAAGAGCTTGCTCAGGAGTGCGAGCTCTGAGCAACAGGGTCGCTGGTTTGATTCCCACATGCGCCAGTGAGCTATGCCGAGCTGAGTTGCCGCTGAGCTGCCAACAGGTGGAAGGATGACTCAGCTGGTGAGTGCACGTGCTCCTAACAACAAGGTTGCCCGTTTGAGATGGTGGGCTGTGCCCACCCACAATTAAAGACTGAACTTGGCATTTTGAGCTGAGCTGCTGCCCAGGTGGCTCAGTGGATAGAGCATGCGCTCTTAACAACGAGGCTGCTGGTTCAACTCCTGCATGAGATGGTGGCTACGCCCACCTGCAACTAACAGCACTTTGAGCTGAGTGGCACAACTGTACTTGGAGCCGAGCTAGCTGCGCCCTCCACAACTAAGATTCAAGGACAACAACCCTGGCTGTTCCCCTTCCCCGAATCCCCAACACTGTTCCTCTCCCCCAATTCCCCAATAAAATTCTGTTTTAAAAAATAAAATAATAAAAACAAAGCAAGCTCATCCACAAGCCCAGTCCCATCCAACCATGGGACGTTTTACAGAACTCACCATGGACTCGAGAGCAGACATGAGGAACGTCACCACCATCCTGCTCTCTGACGACTCCTCATCTTCCACTGGCAGGGTAGACATTGCTACTTGGGCCATGATTCCTGTGCAAGAGAAGAAAGAAGGAAGTGAAACCCAATGTCCAGCTAAGCATAAGCTTATAGCTGTGAGGATCCTCCACAAACTGCCTAATGTATAGTTTTCTTGCATAAGAAAAAAATAAGGCTCAGAAACCAAGTATTATTTACTCAAAACTCCTATCTTTTAATATAGAACATCTTTCCCCTAACTTTCTATCTAATTTTATGTCCATAACTTAGGTCAGCATAACCCCAAAATAAATTCTGTCACCCAGTTAAAATTTCTCCAAGTGAGAGGAAGAGGTGATGCACTTCACAACCTAGCAAGTTGATCATAATTCAACATAGGAAACATGTGAAGTTCCCTTTCTCCCAGGCACACACTGATTATAGAAACAAGTGGGTAAAGCAGGCTGAGGTAGGGTGAAGAGAACGTCTTCTTTCTAACTAAAAAGGAAATAGGTTACAGGACAAGTACCATCTAAGATTCCTTTACAATACAGCATGTTATTCTCTTTCTTTTCTGATACTTTGGATCAGCAAAAAGCCTCAGCTGAATTTCAAGCACTATAAAAATACAACACACAAACATAAAATAGTAAATGTTGGCAAGGATGTGGAAAAACTGGAACCCTGTGCATTGCTGTTAGGAATGGAAAATAGTGCCTCGACTGTAGAAAACCATTTGGCAGTTCCTCAAAATATTTTACAGAATTACCATGATGCAGCAATCCCACCTCTGGGTGTAAACCCCAAAGAACTGAAAACGGGGACCTGAACAGAGATGGTTGCACAGCCATGTTCACTGCAGCACTATTCACAATAGCCAAAACGCAGGAACAACCCAAAAGTCCACTGACAGATGAATGGATAAACAAAATGTGATATATACATACAATATAATTCAGCTTTAACAAGGAATGAAGTTCTGACACCTGCTACAACATAGATGAACCTTGAAAATAGTATTCTAAGTGCAATAAGCCAGACACAAAAGGACAAATACTGTATGACACAACTCACACAAGTTACTATAATAGTCAAATTGACTGAGACAGAAAGCAGAATGGTAGTGGCCAGGGACTAGGGGAAGGGAATAATGGGGTACGGTATTATGTTTAATGTGTACAGAGTTTTAGTTTGCGCTGATGAAAAAGTTATGAAGATCACTAGTGGTGATGGTCACACACAGTGAGAGCACACTTAATGCCAGGGAAAAGTACATTTAAAAATAGTTAAAATGGTAAATTTTGTTATATTTTATCAAAATTAAAAAGCAAAAATATACCACATAAAAACAGTCTAACACAAAATCTAAAGCAAAATTTTTAAAGATTCTAATACTAAAAAATTTTTTCCATCAGTAGTATGCTAATTAGATGCCTACTAAAAGTAATTTCTTTCAATTTAGTTGAATTCTAGTTTTAGCAAGAGATTAAATAATCAAATGAACATAATATGAAAGGATGATTTAAAAATTAAGGACCCGGGCAGGCCAAGTGGCTCGTTGGTTAAGAGTTGGCTTGGGAACCCAAGCTCTGAGTGGAGGGGCCGCTGGTTCGGATCCCACATAAGCCAGTGATGCTGCGCCCTCTATGGCTGAGATGGTGGACGGCAGCTCGACCTGGAGCTGGGCTGTCGTGGGTCACCGGCGACGGAGTAGGCTGCAGTGGGGCTGCAGCGGGCTGCTGTAGGCTGCCGTGAGTGGCCGGCAGCCAGCAAGAGAGGCCGTCCAATGGCCAGCAACCGATCTGCCTCAGCCAGGAAGAGCCCAATGATCACAACACCAACATAGGCCGGTGGGGCGACATCCGCCACAACTAGATTGAGGAGCAGGGGGATGGCAACTTGTCTGTTCCCCTTCCCCGATTCCCCAGCACTGTTCCCTCCCCCAGTTCCCCAAAAAAAAATATTTTTAAAAAAATTAAGGACTGGAAGCATGAATGGGAATTCTAAAAACACACCTAAATAATTTACTGAAGACTTGGGTATCCCTTAACTGAAGCCCCAATATTCCAGAGAACACACAGAGCTGTTGACATAAAAATCATTTTGGCTAAAAATGTACCTAAATCTTTTCTCCTACTATTAAAGAGTATTATCTATTTCCTTAATACTAAAAACTGTGATCTATTTCCCATCTATTACCATGTGAATTAACTGCTAGACTAGGTTTATATTTCAACAAGTAATAAAGTATACATACTTAGGAAATAAAATTTGATAATAAAAACAATTGACACATATCTCCATATATCTCTAAAAAAATAAAGGCAATTTTGTTTCCCAAAACAAGATCTCTATCCTAAATGAAGACAGAATCAGGAAAAGCATCCAGCAAGAGAATGATTAAAATCAAGAAATTCTTTTCCCTAATTCATTTCTCTTGGATGAATAAGTTTAAGTAAATATATATTAAAATGTGGCTCAGTCAAAATGAACAACTAAAGTGTATTATTTTTCCATAATCAGAACATTCACTTAGAATATACAATCATTATATTTCATATTTCTCAATAATCTCACTCTTCCTTTAATTCTTCAGCAAAAGAAAAAGGAGATGTGTTCTCATATTACAAATGCAATGATTGGGCAAGGTCATAGAGCCACTATCAGAGCCAGAACATAACACTAGGACACTTTTCTGCCTACTGCCATTTCCACTCCTCAACTTAATTTGCCATAAATCTGATGATGCCATTCACACTCAACGTTAAGAAACAGGAGACAGATGAGATGCCACTCCGACAGCCCCACAGGCAATGAGAGGTCGTATTTCATTTCCAGAACTTTTCAGGAAGCATCACAGAATTTTTCAAAGGAAAGAACCTTGGCTGTGACTGAATCCAATCAGACTTAATGGGGGAAGAATGTATTTTGTTTGGGGCTTTCTGCTCTCTAGAAATGGGTAAATCTGGATTACAATAGAAATTGGCTGAGCTGTTCTTTGCCAGTCCCACGAGGTCATTTCCCCGCGCAGTCTTTAGTCAGGACTATTCAGGGAACATTCCTGTACCGCTCATTCAGTGACTGCTGCTTCTCCCCTGCCTCCCTTCCAGGAGAAACTGCCTCCCATAACAGTGGTGTTACCAGTGAACACCAGGGGACACACTAGGCCAAGTGAGCATACAGCATGAGAAGCTTGCGGCCCTGGTCCTCACAGAAACAGCAGCCCAGACAGCCAGGGTGTGGGCTGCCCAGACCACTACCACATCTGTTCCCCCAATGGGCTGCACCCAGGCTCCTCTGCTATGAACAGAGAAAGACACTACACATCAACCACTTGCCATGCATGTACCTTTCACCTCTGACCTTTTATGAACCCCCTCATTTTAAAATAAGAGTTGGATAGATAAAAAAGAAACATCTCTTGAATATACCTATGATGCTTTATTGGTCACCTTTTTAATATTGACAATGACCCTGTAAGGGAGAAAGAGTAAGAGCAGAAAAGCAAAACGGAAGTATCCAGAGAGCCCAGAAGCAAGATCTTTGAAAGAGACAGTGTTCCATAAGCCACTGGAGCAGGACCAATGCAGTCTTTTTAAGGTTTAAATGGGTATTGGGGTGGGTGTGTGTGTGTGTGTGTGTGTGTGTGTGTGTGTGTGTGAGAGAGAGAGACTAGAAATGAACAACAAAAAAACCCAACAGGATATGATCAGTCCTATTGTGTCAAAACTCAGAAGTCTCCTAATAAAAGAGGCCATGCCATGAAACAAAAAATTTAAAGCAACTGAAACGGGACAGTTAGCTCTATAATAATAATGAATGCAAACAGGCATAATTTGTCCTTCTAAACTTCATTAGTAATAGTTCTTTGGAACAAAAAGAAAAATGACCAAAATGACCATGTATTCCATAAAACATTAAATACAAAAAGGAGAAAGTATCCCTTTGAATAATTTAAATATAGAAATGGAAGAAAAACTGAACTGAGACAATTCATAGGGTAAACCCAAGTTAGACAACAGAGCGACTTTGGTTTCTGGATTTGTAACATCTCGTACTTGCTCCCTCCGCCACTGTGTCTCTGATGCTGTCTTGGTAAAGGACAGGTGGGCTGGGGAGAACAGGTGGTTTCTTTCTAAGGCAATCATCCAAGGCCAAAAAGCAGAGGTCAAGGAACAACAGGGTGTCCCTCTAGATAATAGCTGCATGTCGCCATTTAAATCTAAATTAATTAAGATTAAACAAAATTTAAAATTCAGTTCCTGAGGGCCAGCTGAGAGGAGCATTGGTTAAGAGCTGGCTTGGGACCCCAGCTCTGAGCAGCAGGGCCCCGGTGTGGATCCCACATGGGGGCCAGTGACACTGCCCTCCACAGCTAAGATGGTGAACAACAGCTCAACCTGGAGCTGGGATGCCGTGAATCGCCGGCGACAGCTTAGGCTGCAGCCCCTGCTGCAACGGGCTGCCATAAGCTACCGTGTGTGGCCGGCAGCCAGCGTGAGCAGCCAGCAGCCGATGTGCGCTGCCAAGCCACCGTGAGCGGTCGTCCAGAGGCCGGCGACCAATCTGCCTCACCCAGGAACAGCGCAATGATAATACCAACATTGGCCAGTGAAGCAACGTTCTCCACAACTAGACTGAAGAATGAAACGACAGCAACTTGTCTGTTCCCCTTCCCCTGATTCCCCAGCGCTGTTCCCCTCCCTCAATTCCCCAATAAAATCTTAAAAAAAAAAAATGTTGAGTTTCTTTGCTTACTAAAGAAATACTTTTCATAATTTTTGTATTTCTTCTTGGGTGACTCATCATCTACTCAGGTACTACGCCCATTACTACACTGATGTCTTATAATGACTACATATTTGCATAAAGTCAATAATTCTTAATCCCAGTCCTTCTTTTAATCTTGATAATTATTATATGAATGTAGGCCCTTAGTTATTCAGCTTTTGTATGTTTATTTTTAATTCTGTATTTTTAAATGTATTATTTCTGTTTCAATTTAAATTTTATTTTGGGGCCGACCAAGTGGCGCGTTGGTTAAGAGCTGGCTTGGGATGCCAGAGGGCCCCGGT